GTTCTCCCAGTTCAAGTCGGGCTGCTCCGTGGCAAACAGGTGCAGATAATACTCGCCCGTCTGCTCATCCCACTGCCAGGCACTACCGCCGCCAAAGTTGCATCGCCAGTTGTTTGGAGGGAGTCTCTCCCCAGTGCGTGAATATTTGGCGGGTCTCCAGATGTACCAATCTCTCTTGGGGCTGTCCCTGCCTGCGCGAGACTCCTTGAACCAGGCATGTTGGTCCGAGGTGTGGTTGATGACGAGGTCGAGCATGATTCGCATGCCGCGGGCATGGGTCTCGCGGATGAGGACTTCCATGTCCTGAACAGTGCCATAGGGCCTGTAGACATCTTCGTAGTTGGAAATGTCGTAGCCCATGTCGACCTGCGGACTGTCATACATGGGACAGATCCAAATCACGTTGACGCCCAGACTGGCTATGTAGTCCAGCTTGGAGGTGATGCCGGGCAAGTCACCGATGCCATCGCCGTTGGAGTCGCAGAAGGAGGCTGGGTAGATTTGGTAGATGACGGCCTCTTTCCACCATTTCTTCTCGCGGGAGATGACGGTCATGATGGCTGTGAGACTGACAAGGCGCAGAAATGCAAAGAGTCGTAAGGTGAGAGTCTGGGTTATCGCTCTATTCTAGTACAAAGAGTCTCCTGCAAATGGGAATAAACAAACAGGGCGTAAATGACACAAAAAGATGAGAATGGGGGAGAAAGTTGGGGTCTGGAGACAGGACAGAGGCAGTTTCCTCTTAAATCCTCAAGCATCGTGAATATGCCACGTGGGGAAGAGGACACGTCGGTGTAGAAGGGAGCGAACTCGAGAGATACGGGTTCATGTGCGACCAACCGCTGGAGCCAAATTTTCAAGAATGACCACCGCGGCCCAACCACAGCAAGACCAAGAGCGGAAGTATGATTCTCGTCATACCGGGTCTTCCAGCTTCGTCATGGGCACAATACTGCTTTGTCGGTCCGACGGTTTGGAGCATTCGTGCGGGGAAATCTGGGGTAAGTGTCACAGTGACACTGCCGTCGCGACGATCGCTTTGTGTGATCTGAGAAATTGCCAGAATTGGCAATGCCAGACGACGCCTTATGGATACATGGGATATAGTTGGAGAGTCACATAACTTGTCCAATATCACGGAGTAGCGCGAGATGGTTATGCCACGCAGCCAAGGGGAGCCGGCGGGGCTACAACAGATAGATAGATGTCACTGACATGTTGTCGGTCCGACGCGACCAACGGCACCATTGGCCTGTTGTCGGCCCGGCACTCGATGGCTTTCGCTTCCTGCGCCATGCGGGTCTTCTCGAAGCTCAGGGCTGAAGAAACTTCCTTTCCAACTCGGCCCGGCCATGCAGCCACGAAAACATAAAGCCGTGCAGATGGCTCACTCTGCTGGTGCTAGCGAGTGCCGTGCCATCCAAGACTTTAGCCGTTCAACATCAGAGAGTCACGCTAGGAGCAGCATGAAACTGCGATGGCTGGCCATGGCGTACATCAAGCAACCGGCACGGGAGGTCTGTTTTGTGATTCGATACCTGAACCAACTATGTATTTGGCCATCTCACCAAGATCTCAGGGACCAGGAAAGATTCTGGTGCTGGTGAGTGCGCCAGCCGCATTCTTTGGCCGAGAGAACCGCCGTGAACGACATCAGCCAAGGTGCGTTGCGTTTCTATTCACAGTCCTGGAGATGCTCCAAAGCCGTTTTGACGAGTCAGTTGGTATCTATGGAATTCCTTCGAGCTAATTCGACTATTGATAGGACAACGTCCTTACAGGCCAAGGCTTTTGGGCAAGCGCTTTGCTTCGGTATGGAATGGCGACTCGATTGCTTTGGATAAATGGGATGACGGATGGAGTCGCCGGACAAACAACTCGGACCACTTCAGAAACGCAAATACCGTATTAGGATATAATCCTACAGGCGTGGACGCAATGCCCCATCCTCACCTCCTTTCGGCGCGATCCAACGCCAAGCCAATCCGAAAACAAAAAAAACCCCCGTGACCTTGTCGGACCGACGACGAAGGGGAACGATTTCTCACAACTAGGATCACCGGCCTAATGGCAAGACGGCAAGCTTAATTCTCCAGATCCACCAAATTGAAATGGCATCCCCATGGGGAGGTCAAATCCGGGGATGCAGAAGGTGACCTCACCTCACATCGAATTGGAATCAACATTTGGTGATGGCCGATGTTCCGGCCCCAGCATTGTTTGTACGACCAAAATGTTGTGGATCCCCATCCAGGGGGGCCAGACATGGTCGCCTGATCACCTTGTCTGGAGAGGCGGGCTGTTTACTCCGTATGTACATCCAACAAGCCCCAACTGTTCAATTGAGCCAATGGCTACAATTTCCTGCGGCCGGCCCGAGGAGAAAATCTTTCGAAGTGGTTGGGTCGGCAGTTGACGTTTTGTGGATGGTGATTGTAGCACGGCAGCTCGACGACATCATCTCAACAACCACAACCACCACCACCTGCGGTTTCAACAAAGTCAATGGCACGTGTGCCATATGGAGCCTGGCTTGTCATTGGGGACAGCATCGGCTAGCCCGCCACAACACTCGCCCTTGGCCCGGTTCAGGGGTGTGTATGGGTCCAGGTGGCTTCACACTAGTCACAAGGAGCGAAGGAGCCGGCTTTTGTCTGGGGTCTCGGCTCTGTTGTGAAATGGACCTGCCAGCAAAAAACCGCTCGATTCCATTTACAATTCAACTTCTCTCGTCTTCAAGCGTCATGGACTATAAAGGGAGGCCGGTCTGTCGTCGGCTTATCAAGAGATGGATTCGTGAGGCATCGGATCATGGCCGCCCAACTCCTTTACTCCTAAGCTTTTCTTGGCTCTCGGATACCAGGCTCATTTTCTTTTGATCCCCCCCAACCCAATATACCAATTATATACGTTATCCAAGGGGACATTTGCCTCGTCAATTGATACCACTAGTTGGAAAATTGACTAGAAGCACAATACTCCAACATGTCTTCCCTCACCAAACACCAGGGCGGGGACCAGCCTCGCAGAATCTCCATCGACCGCGGCAACATGGACGAAAATCTCGTCCATGAGGCAGCCGCCGCCGCCGAAACGGAGCATAGCATGGGGCTTTTAAAATCTCTCCAACTGTACAGGAAAGCCTGTCTGTGGTCCATCTTCCTGTCCACCTGTATTGTCATGGAAGGATTCGATGTTGTGCTGCTCAACACATTATTTGCTTATCCCCCCTTCCAGAAGAAATTCGGGGTTGAACAGCCTGACGGCACATACCAACTCACGGCGGCTTGGCAAGCCGGCCTGAGCAACGGCACGCTTGTGGGACAAGTCCTCGGTCTGTTCGTCAACGGAATCATTGCCGACAGATTCGGATACCGCAAGACGCTCATCGGCGCCTTGGTGGGCTGCATTGCTTTCATCTTTATAGTCTTCTTTGCGGAAAGCCTCACGCAACTCCTCATCGGGCAGATGCTCATCGGTGTCCCGTGGGGTGTCTTCCAGACCCTGACCACAACATATGCCTCCGAGGTGTGCCCTACGCATCTGCGTGCCTACCTCACCACATATGTCAACCTCTGCTGGGTCATGGGCCAGTTCATCGCCTCCGGCGTCCTGCGGGCCATGGTCTCCCGAGACGACAAGTGGGGATACAAGATTCCCTTTGCTCTACAGTGGATGTGGCCCATCCCTCTGATTATCGGCATCTATCTTGCCCCCGAGTCCCCCTGGTGGCTCGTTCGCCGCAACCGCATCGACGACGCCAAGAGGTCTTTGGCGCGGCTGACAGCCCGCAATACCGACCTTGCCTTCCGGCCGGACGAAACCATCTCCATGATGGTTCATACCAACGAGATGGAGAAGGAGCTCACGGCAGGCATCTCGTATGCAGATCTCTTTCGAGGCAAGGTGAACCGCCGCCGAACAGAAATCGTCTGCGTCACATGGATGATCCAGACCCTCTGCGGCGCCACCTTTATGGGATACTCGACCTACTTTTACCAACAGGCTGGGATGGATGTTGAAAACTCGTTCAGCATGTCTCTTGGCCAGTACGCGCTTGGCGCTGTCGGCACCATCTGCTCGTGGTTCCTCATGGGCCGCTGGGGCCGCCGAACCCTGTACCTGGGCGGCCAAATCATCATGTGCATCCTCCTCCTCGCCATTGGTTGCACCGCCTTTGCCGGCAAGGAGAACGCCGCTGCACAGTGGGCAATCGGCTCGATGCTCCTCGTCTACACCTTTACGTACGATGCCACCGTCGGCCCCGTCTGCTACTCCCTCGTCGCCGAGCTCACGTCCACCCGTCTCCGAACCAAGTCGGTGGTTCTCGCCCGAAACTGCTACAACATAGTTGGCATCGTGACCAATGTCATGACGCCCCGGATGCTGAATCCCACGGCGTGGAATTGGGGCGCCAAGGCCGGCTTCTTCTGGACGGGCACCTGCCTCGCGTGCGCCATCTGGACGTACTGGCGTCTTCCGGAGCCGAAGGGCCGCACCTATGCCGAGCTGGATGTCCTGTTTGAGAATGGCATCAGCGCCCGCAAATTCAGCTCCACGTCGATTGACAGATTCGATGCGCAAGGTGACCGCGTGTCAGAAAAGGAAAAGATGTCGGAAGTCAGGGTCGAGAGAGTCCACAGCGATCAGTCTTGAGGACACCAGGACCCCCCTTTCCCTACGTTGACGAACTTGCGGACTGGCATGGATGATGTGACGGATGTTTTTGCGGTGTTGATGGCAACTTGCTCAGACGAATGATATTTAAGCGATGTATGTATGTATTACCCGAAGCGTTTTTGGAGGAATCATCCCGATTGGCAGATGATAGAAAAATACAAAGGCGCTAGCCAATGATAGATGACTGCTCGTATTACCAACAAAAAGAATGTGTCTTGCGCAGCAAGGGTTTCACACGGTAAGACAAGGGCCCCTTCTTTTTGGTTCACGGCTGCATAAATACATACATGTCCGGCCATGCCGACAAGCATTGTACCTCCTCAAAACCACGCGGGTTCCCCCCACGGGCCAACACCCGGGCCCTTGAAGAGCCTGCCCCCCTTCCACACCCATCTGATGTTCTCCTCGTTCTGCAAGACGCGGACATCGGCGACGGGATTCGCCGTGACGCCGATGAAATCAGCCTCGTACCCGGCCTTGAGCTGCCCCGTCCTGGGCGCCTGGCCCTCGACGGTCAGCGGCCCGTTGGCGGTGGCGGCGCGGATGGCCTCGAGGTTCGACAGCCCGGCCTCGACGGCCCATTCCAGCTCCCGGGCCATGGTCAGGGCGGCGAGGGCGTCTGTGCCCAGCGCGATAGTGACGCCGGCGGCAACGGCGGCCCGT